GTAAGCCACCTTTCCTGCGGCCAGGCGTTGGCCAAAGCTTCGAGCAAGGGACGCATTTCCTCCAGCGATTGCCAGAGCGAGACCGGCGTCAGCAATCAAATTGTATTCCGTCTCTCAGTCACATGGCACGGACGGTCCCGCAGTCCCTCCAAGCCACGCCCCTGCTTTTCGAGCAGGCGGATGGCAGACAGTCCCCCCCTGAACCAGAGGATTGTTCTCTAGATGCCCAGATAAAGCCGCTCCTGCAATCCGAGCGTTCACCTCCTGCGTCTCCGTGAGACGACCGCTGGCCAAGCATGCTTTGACGTGCCGGAACATCTTGGACCGCCGCACGACCGATCGCAGGAAGGCCTCACGGACAGGATTGCACGTCTTCCACGGCTCGCTCAGAAATGATTCCCGGACGAAATTTTGCAGCGCTGCGTTGCTCAGGCCGAGGAGTTTGTCCATGGTTTTCTGGCGCCGCAGGTACAGAGCCGAGCTCTTGATTTTATCCACAGCGCGCACTCTCCTGGCCCGACTGGCCTCCATACAACCTTGCGGCGAGCAGCATAGCAGCGGCATGCTTCGTGGCGAAGCGCTGTACCATTCTCACCAAAAACCCTCTCCTGCCCAATAGCTCGGCATTTCGAGCAGACCTGAGATTCAGACCGGCCTCACAGTCGGCGTGGCGTACATGCCTCAGTCTCTGGCACCTTTCGTCGGTGAGGACCTCCCTTACCCGTGGCTCGGGAGCTGGCTCTAGGCTCGCTGCCTGGCCCTGTGTTCTAAACTGATCTCAAAGCATCATATGTACTCCAGCTGTTGCAAAATCATCTTCCATGTCTTTCCAGACATTATAAGGCTGCGTGCGTGGAATCGATCCACTGCAACAAAAACATTTTCTTCTCACCTTTCCTCCATGCTGTTTTGGCATACACTCAGATTCCAAAACTGCACCTATAGCTACACTCCAAAAGCCGGATCCAGTCGTCGACGTCGTCGAGGTGTCCCAAGATCAAAGTCACAGCATCGTCCGGATTCTCTGGCTCATGGGCATCGACAACCAGCGGGTTCGCCAGGTTCGTGGCCCTCACAGCCATCTGCGAGAGTGCTTCGATCATCGCCAACACATGTGCTGGAAACTGATCCATGTTCTTCCTCTTCTTCTCGGCATGTTCGGGTGTGGTGTCTGCAGCTTCTCGAGCTCTCTTCGGAGGTGTTTCCATCTCTCTCTTCGGAGGTGTTTCCATGGCTCGAGGTGCTAGGTGCTCAATATTCTTTGAGAAACTTCGGTTCGGTATACACATCATGACTTCTAGTTGCTGCCTGTCCAGGTATTCATAAGATTACTATTAAAACAACATGACAATAATGTCTGTCCAGACATGAAAATATCACATCGATATATACTGTGTATATATATATATATAGAATAGAAAAGTGTATTAACGATGTGCGGGAGAAAATACACTTTAAAATCAATCGAGGAATCAAGCGAGGAATCGAGCGGTGGATTTGTAAAATCAATCGAGGAATCGAGCAATGTTTCATATAAAACCAATCGAGGAATCGAGCGAAGAACCAAGTTGGTCGATTGATTTGGATAGCTTAAACTCGTTTTTCGAGCGCCGATAGAATAGACAATAAATTCGGGCGTTCCATAGATAATTATCAATCGAAGAGCCTGTCTGAAACCTTCCACGAAGAGTCTCCTTTTTTAGGAAGGTCGCCTTCGACATGCGCGACACCGTGCGTCTGCGGTTGCTGCCTTGTGCGACGATGGCACGGGCCAGCGCTTTCCCTGAGCATCTGGACAAGAAGTATGCCCAGCGCCATGATCTCTTGGTGAAGTTGCGAAGTCTCGTCGGTGAGCTCGTAGCGCTGAGTCGACGAGCTCCCCCACAGTCATGACCGGGCGGCCTCTGGCTCGGGCCAGCCCTGCCTCGTCACCTACCCCAAAACTGACGTCAAGGGGTTTCTGGGCTAGCTCCTGAACGAGGGGCTTGGTCCTGTCGACGTCTATGCCGTCAAGCCTGTGCCGGGCACGTCGCACAATGAAAACATCCAGCAACACGCAAAGCAGAGTCTTGCAGCTGAGCACGCTCCACCCATCCACGTCTGGGACGAGGTGCACGTCCATAGCTACTTCTGTGCAGTTTCTGCTTTTGTGCAGTTTCGGCGAAGGTCTCGCGCAGCAGAAAGAAACAACCGTTTGAGCCAGTCTACACTGTGGTGGGAGCACGATCAAGGCCCGGAGGCCGCAGGAATTCGCAAGTTTCCTGCTTGAGCCAGCCTAATGTGGGTTGTGGGTTTAGGGATCCTAAAGTGAATAGTATCCTGGTGTAGCGTGGAAGCCACATTACATGGACCTCACATTCCGTCGTTCTTGCTTGACCGTGCGCAGGATTTGGTCTGTCGGCGCAGCTCACTGCAAATACGTCGGACCCCCGCAACCCGACACTACAACCCCTAGCCCTACATCCCCATACCACCTCTCCGGCCAGGCGTGCTTGGCTGACAGCGGATCCGCGTCCAGAGCTTCTGCACCTGAGCTGGGGGAGGGGGCTTATAGGGAACCCTAAACCCGAACCCTTGAACCTAAACCTCAGCTGCATCTTGTTTTGAAGAAGCTCCTGGATTCTATGCTTATGCGTGTTGCTGAGGTGGCTAGTGATGTCTGCGTTTGGCTCCAAAAACAGCCACCTAGCCTGCTGCGGGCTCCTCCGACTACCCTACGTAATTGGAAATCCACTTTTTCCATGGACTTCGGTCGGAGAACCCTGTGCAACCAGCAGCTGCAAACTGAAGTGGGATTGCAGAGAAAGGTTGCAGTGTAGTCTTGTGTAGTGCTGCTGCAAAGCTGCTCTCTGACACAGGAAGCCGCCTCCCTGGCCCCACCGGAGCATGCTGCATGGGACAGCGCGGATGCGAACTTCCTTCAGGTCAGGAGTACTGAAATCCCCTGTAATGGCCAGGTGATGCCAGTGGCTGACGATGCCAGTGGCTGACGATGCCAGCGGCGTCGCGTCCAGAGCTTCTGCACCTGAGCTGGGGCCCGTTTGTCTGCGGATAGGGTTGCCGTGTTCTTAGCCTGTTGTCTAGGTTAAGTTACACTACATGGCAATCCTGACCTGCAGAACAGCGGATGTTGTGGGGGCAGGAGGCTCCGAAAACAGCCACCTAGCCTTGCTGTGCGCTCCTCTGACTACCCTACGTAATGGGAAATCACTTTTTCAAGGAAGTGAGTTTGAACACAGTGTAGTCATGTGTAGTGCTGCTACCTGCCTGGGTCTGCCGGCGGAGCCTGCTGCATGGGACAGCGCGGATGCGAACTTCCTGTCCCGCATCTGTGATTGGATTTTGGCTTGGGCTTCAGGTAGAGCTTCTGAATTCTGGGGGTCGAGCAAGGAGGCTTGGGCAGGCAACCGGTCGTCCCCTGTGATGACGGCGGACCCGGGTTGGGATCAGGGCTTCTCCGCACGACTCCGCACTACAGACTAACAAGTCCTTTTATTCCCCAGGAGCGACCCCCCCTGCTCAGTCGCAGGCTCCCTGCGATCTCTTGAAGCGCCCCAAGGTGCGCTTCGCTACCTTCTCGGCTTCTGCGCGTGTCTCATACCGACCGAAGCTTTCCTGCAGCTGCCGGATGCTAGATGTGTAACAGAAACAAAAAAGGCTCAAAAAAACACAGCCGCGTGCGGCCTGGCGTCCTTCTTTCCACTGGCAGGGTTGGTTAGTTGTACAAAGAAAGCACGGTTTTTTGCGCGCTTGTCATGCTTCACTCCGGCCTGGAAAGCTTCGCCTTGCATGGAAGCTCCTCTCGGCCCATACTTTCCATGAAGGTGCGAGCCTGAACGTAAGCTTTCAATCCTGCGACCTTCTCGGTACGTCGCAGCCCACTCTCCATCCAGGAGACAATCCACAGATCTTCGCGGCGATTGTACCACAAGCCGGCGCTCTTGGAATGCCACGGGCCTTTGATGCAAATCAACTTGTCGCCAAGCGGCACGAGGATGTAGCCCTCGGCGTCTGTCGCCAAATCGGACAGAGGGATGCCTTCGTCGTCAGAGTCTGTGTCTGTGGCCTTGGTCACGGACGTCCGAAAAAACTCGTGACGCCAGGACGCGGACACTTGCTCCACTCCCACCTCCAAGTCTATCACGCTCGGCCCAATCCTCAGCGGGGTTGGCGAAAGGGGCAGGGGGTTCAGTTTCAGTTCAGTTTCAGGCTTGCGAGGCAATTTCCGTTTGAATATTGGAGCAAATTTTTGGAGGGGTGGGCGGGGGCCAGTTTCAGTTTCAGTTCAGTTTCAGTTCAGTTTCAGTTCATTTTCAGTTCAGTTTCAGGTCATTTTCAGTTCAGTTTCAGTTCAGTTTCAGTTCAGTTTCAGTTCAGTTTCAGTTCAGTTTCAGTTCAGTTTCAGTTCAGTTTCAGTTCAGTTTCAGTTAGTTTCAGTTCAGTTTCAGTTCAGTTTCAGTTCAGTTTCAGTTTTAATATTAGAGCAAAACTGTTCGGTGGGGAGTTTCAGTTTCAGTTCAGTTTCAGTTTGAATATTGGAGCAATTTTTTTCAGCGCGGGGGGGCGAGGAGAGTTTCAGTTCAGTGTCAGTTTGAGTATTGGAGCATATTTTGCTTTTGTTTTATATAGATTTTTTGTGGGGGTGGTGGGGAGGAGTTTCAGTTTCAGTGGGGATCGCTATGAGGACAACAATGACAACAGTACCGAAGTGAGCATCCCATGATCAACCACGCTGCCCGACAAGACCGACAGTAGATAGCGAGTTTAAGGACAGCCTTACTTCCGAAATGGCAGGTCAGGCTGTTTTGCGGCATGTTGGGGCACCTACCAGCCTTTTGGGTGTTCCGCATAAATCCGACCTGATCCCCAAAAGCAGAAAAGAAACCTAAACTCCGTAAGCCTCACTCAACGCTTGCATACCTGAACTCAGAACTCTTAAAGGAGCCCGGTACACAAACTTGAAGCAACACTGAAACGTAAGGGAGTCCTATAAGCCACGCCTGCACGTCACCCAGGTCGGGCACTGTGTAACGTAGCCAGGCCTGTGAACCCAGGCTGTTACGGCTCATTTAAGGCTTCCTCCATAGTGGAAGCCATAAAGTTGGCACATCATAAACCCTAAACCCTAAACCCCCGTGGCCTTGAGGTAAAGTATAAGGGGTCCTAGTACAAATGATCCGAAACCCACGTTCCATTTTTCTGGGGTTCGTTGCAAAGGTTAGTACAGGGTGGCTTTCAGGGTTCGGATTCCTTCACAGGTTCGGGCCCCCTGAAAGGTTATTAAGTGTTTTTGGGTTTTAGGGTTTAGGG